TATACATCAAGAAAAGAAAGACAGAGAGGGATGTATAAAGATGGAGAGATGGAGATAGAGAGAGGGGAGGAGGGTAAAATTGAGAGATGGAGATAGAGTGAGGGAGTAGTGAAATAGATTTGACATGCTGACTAGTAATTATATTTTCTCTTCTCTATAGGGAGAGGAAGAGAGGAGCAGAGGAGGAGAGGAGGAGGAGAGGAGAGAAGGAGAGGAGGAGAGGAGGAGAGGAGGAGAGGAGGAGAGGTGGAGAGGTGGTGAGGAGGAGAGGTGGAGAGGTGGAGAGGTGGACAGGTGGAGAGGTGGAGAGGTGGAGAGGTGAAGAGATGGAGAGGTGGAGAGGAAGAGATGAGGAGAGGTGGAGAGGTGTAGAGGAGGAGAGGAGGAGAGGAGGAGGAGAGGAGGTGAGGTGGAGATGTGGAGAGGTGGAGAGGAGGAGAGGAGGAGAGGTGAAGAGGTGGAGAGGTGGAGAGGTGGAGAGGTGGAGAGGTGGAGAGGTGGAGAGGAGGAGAGGTGGAGAGGAGGAGAGGTGAAGAGGTGGAGAGGTGGAGAGGTGAAGAGGTAAAGACCATGGTGCAATGGGGATAGCGAGATATAGAGGGATAGAGAGAGGGAGGAGAGAGATTTGGAGGGAGGAGAGGTGAGGAGAGATGGAGGGAGGAGAGGAGAGGAGAGATGGAGGGAGGAGAGGAGAGGAGAGATGGAGGGAGGAGAGGAGAGGAGAGATGGAGGGAGGAGAGGAGAGGAGAGATGGAGGGAGGAGAGGTGAGGAGAGATGGAGGGAGGAGAGGAGAGATGGGAGGGAGGAGAGGAGAGGAGAGAAAGAGGGAGGAGAGGAGAGATGGAGGGAGGAGAGGTGAGGAGAGATGGAGGGAGGATAGGAGAGATGGAGGGAGGAGAGGTGAGGAGAGGATGGAGGGAGGAGAGGAGAGGAGAGATGGAGGGAGGAGAGGAGAGGAGAGATGGGATGGGAGGAGAGGAGAGATGGAGGGGAGGAGAGGAGAGATGGAGGGAGGAGAGGAGAGGAGAGGATGGAGGGAGGAGAGGAGAGGAGAGATGGAGGAGATGAGAGGAGAGGAGAGATGGAGGGAGGAGAGGAGAGGAGAGATGGAGGGGAGGAGAGGAGAGGGAGAGATGGAGGGAGGAGAGGAGAGGAGAGATGGAGGGAGGAGAGGAGAGGAGAGATGGAGGGAGGAGAGGAGAGGAGAGATGGAGGGAGGAAAGGAGAGGAGAGATGGAGGGACGAGAGGAGAGGAGAGATGGAGGGAGGAAGAGGGTGAGGAGAGATGGAGGGAGGAGAGGGAGGGGAGAGATGGAGGGAGGAGAGGAGAGGAGAGATGGAGGGAGGAGAGGAGAGGAGAGATGGAGGGAGGGAGGAGAGGTGAGGAGAGATGGAGGGAGGAGAGGAGAGATGGAGGGAGGAGAGGAGAGGAGAGATGGAAGGAGGAGAGGAGGAGAGGGAGGGAGGAGAGGAGAGGAGAGATGGAGGGAGGAGAGGAGAGATGGAGGGAGGAGAGGAGAGGAGAGATGGAGGGAGGGAGGAGAAGTGAGGAGAGGAGAGGAGAGGTGAGGAGAGATGGAGGGAGGAGAGGAGAGATGGAGGGAGGAGAGGAGAGGAGAGATGGAGGGAGGAGAGGAGAGGAGAGATGGAGGGAGGAGAGGAGAGATGGAGGGAGGAGAGGAGAGGAGAGGAGAGATGGAGGGAGGAGAGGAGAGGAGAGATGGAGGGAGGAGAGGAGAGGTAGCATGTGGAGATCTCAGCCCTTCACCTCAGCCTGCCCAGAGAGACGAGATTACTCTGCTCTCTCTCTCTCTCTCACGCACGCGCGCACACGCATGCATGCATGCACACACGCACGCACACACACACACACACACACACACACACACACACACACACACACACACACACACACACACACACACAAGCTGGATATTTGAGTCTTAGGATGGGGTTCAGTGCTTTTGACCAGGGCTTGTAGGGTTCACTATGTAGGGAATGGGGTGCAGCCTGAGAGTTTGATTGACAAGCCGCTAAAAATAGATCGAAAATGAGGGAGAAGGAGAGGAGGAGGGATGGAGGAGAATACTGATAAGGTAAGCTTAGTTGTTTTCACTGGTTTTCAGAAAGAGGTGTGTTCTATCATTTACTTGGAGTTTGGTTTAGCCTGCATGGGTTCATCACTACGTATAATAAGTCATTCATGACAACATCAAAACATTCTCTCTCTCTCTCTCTCTCTCTGTCTCCATCCCTCCATATCTCCTCTCACCCTTGGCTTCTTCCCTACATCTCCCCACCTCTCCCTCTATCCCTGAATCTCTCTGTCTCCATCCATCCATCCATCTTTAATTCCTTCCCTCCAGCTCTCTCTCTCTCTGTAAATCCCAGAGGTCCGATCTGGTCTTCCCTGCATTCATGTTTAATAGAATCACACTGGTTGAAAACACTGTCTATAGATCCACGATTACACACTGTGTGTGTGTGTGTGTGTGTGTGTGTGACAGTGGAGGCTGGTGGGAGGATACATAGGAGGACGGCTCATTGTAATGGCTGGAACACAAACACTCAAACACAAACACACACACACAAACACATACACACACAAGCACATACACACACACAAACACATACACACAAACACACACACACAAACACACACACACAAACACACACACACAAACACATTCACACACAAACACTCACACACAAACACACACACACAAACACATACACACACAAACACTTATACACAAACACACACACACAAACACACACACACAAACACATACACACACAAACACATACACACTCCAGATGCGGCTGGTGGGATGAGCTATAGGAGGACGGCTCATTGTAATGGCTGGAATGGAATAAATGGAACGGAGTCAAACATGTGGTTTCCATATCTTTGATATGTTTGATTAATTCCATTCCAGCCATTAAAATTAGCCCATCCTCCTATAGCTCATCCCACCAGCCGCATCTGGAGTGTGTATGTGTTTGTGTGTTTGTGTGTGTGTGTGTGTTTGTGTGTGTGTGTGTGTGTATGTGTGTGTGTGTGTGTATGTGTTTGTGTTTGTGTGTGTAAGTGTTTGTGTGTGTGTGTGTGTGTGTGTGTGTGTGTGTGTGTGTGTGTGTGTGTGTATGTGTGTGTGTATGTGTTTGTGTTTGTGTGTGTAAGTGTTTGTGTGTGTGTGTGTGTGTGTATGTGTGTGTGTATGTGTTTGTGTGTCGCACAGTGAGAGAATGAACAAACGTTTCAGCACCAGAAGAGAACAGATGCATCATAATAAAACATACAATGCTAGGTCATTCATCCCTCTCAATAACCCCTCCCTATCGCCCTCTCACACTCCTCCCTCCCTCCCTCTTTCACTTTCCCTCTCTCCCTCCCCCCTATCCTCCCCACTCAATCCCTCTCTCCCTCCCTCTCTCTCTCCTTCTCCTCCTCCTCCCTCTGTCCCTCCTCATCATCCATTTTGTCTACAGTGTTAACATAGAGGTACTATATATAGCTTGATCGAAAGAGACCAGCTGATTCATTATACATGTAGAGACCAGCTGATTCATTATATATGTAGAGACCAGCTGATTCATTATATATGTATAGACCAGCTGATTCATTATACATGTAGAGACCAGCTGATTCATTATACATGTAGAGACCAGCTGATTCATTATACATGTAGAGACCAGCTGATTCATTATATATGTATAGACCAGCTGATTCATTATACATGTAGAGACCAGCTGATTCATTATACATGTAGAGACCAGCTGGTTCATTATACATGTAGAGACCAGCTGATTCATTATACACGTAGAGACCAGCTGATTCATTACACATGTAGAGACCAGCTGATTCATTATACACGTAGAGACCAGCTGATTCATTATATATGTATAGACCAGCTGATTCATTATACATGTAGAGACCAGCTGATTCATTATACACGTAGAGACCAGCTGATTCATTACACATGTAGAGACCAGCTGATTCATTATACACGTAGATACCAGCTGGTTCATTATATATGTAGAGACCAGCTGATTCATTATACACGTAGAGACCAGCTGATTCATTATACACGTAGAGACCAGCTGATTCATTATATATGTATAGACCAGCTGATTCATTATACATGTAGAGACCAGCTGATTCATTATACACGTAGAGACCAGCTGATTCATTATATATGTAGAGACCAGCTGATTCATTATACACGTAGATACCAGCTGATTCATTATACATGTAGAGACCAGCTGATTCATTATACATGTAGAGACCAGCTGATTCATTATACACGTAGAGACCAGCTGATTCATTATACATGTAGAGACCAGCTGATTCATTATATATGTAGAGACCAGCTGATTCATTATACACGTAGAGACCAGCTGATTCATTATACATGTAGAGACCAGCTGATTCATTATATATGTAGAGACCAGCTGATTCATTATACATGTAGAGACCAGCTGGTTCATTATACACGTAGAGACCAGCTGATTCATTATACATGTAGAGACCAGCTGATTCATTATACATGTAGAGACCAGCTGATTCATTATACATGTAGAGACCAGCTGATTCATTATATATGTAGAGACCAGCTGATTCATTATATATGTAGAGACCAGCTGATTCATTATATATGTAGAGACCAGCTGATTCATTATACACGTAGATACCAGCTGATTCATTATACACGTAGATACCAGCTGATTCATTATATATGTAGAGACCAGCTGATTCATTATATATGTATAGACCAGCTGATTCATTATACATGTAGAGACCAGCTGGTTCATTATACATGTAGAGACCAGCTGATTCATTATACATGTAGAGACCAGCTGATTCATTATACATGTAGAGACCAGCTGATTCATTACACATGTAGATACCAGCTGATTCATTATATATGTATAGACCAGCTGATTCATTATACATGTAGAGACCAGCTGATTCATTATATATGTATAGACCAGCTGATTAATTATACATGTAGAGACCAGCTGATTCATTATACACGTAGATACCAGCTGATTCATTATACATGTAGAGACCAGCTGATTCATTATATATGTAGAGACCAGCTGATTCATTATATATGTAGAGACCAGCTGATTCATTATACATGTAGAGACCAGCTGATTCATTATACATGTAGAGACCAGCTGGTTCATTATACATGTAGAGACCAGCTGATTCATTATATATGTAGAGACCAGCTGATTCATTATATATGTATAGACCAGCTGATTCATTATACACGTAGATACCAGCTGATTCATTATACACGTAGAGACCAGCTGATTCATTATACACGTAGATACCAGCTGATTCATTATACATGTAGAGACCAGCTGATTCATTATATATGTAGAGACCAGCTGATTCATTATATATGTATAGACCAGCTGATTCATTATACACGTAGATACCAGCTGATTCATTATACATGTAGAGACCAGCTGATTCATTATATATGTAGAGACCAGCTGATTCATTATATATGTATAGACCAGCTGATTCATTATACACGTAGATACCAGCTGATTCATTATACATGTAGAGACCAGCTGATTCATTATATATGTAGAGACCAGCTGATTCATTATATATGTATAGACCAGCTGATTCATTATACACGTAGATACCAGCTGATTCATTATACATGTAGAGACCAGCTGATTCATTATACATGTGTAGACCAGCTGGTTCATTATACATGTAGAGACCAGCTGATTCATTATACATGTAGAGACCAGCTGATTCATTATACATGTAGAGACCAGCTGATTCATTATACACGTAGATACCAGCTGATTCATTATACATGTAGAGACCAGCTGATTCATTATATATGTAGAGACCAGCTGATTCATTATACATGTAGAGACCAGCTGATTCATTATACATGTAGAGACCAGCTGATTCATTATACACGTAGATACCAGCTGATTCATTATACATGTAGAGACCAGCTGATTCATTATATATGTAGAGACCAGCTGATTCATTATATATGTAGAGACCAGCTGATTCATTATACATGTAGAGACCAGCTGATTCATTATACACGTAGATACCAGCTGATTCATTATACATGTAGAGACCAGCTGATTCATTATATATGTAGAGACCAGCTGATTCATTATATATGTAGAGACCAGCTGATTCATTATACATGTAGAGACCAGCTGATTCATTATACACGTAGAGACCAGCTGATTCATTATACACGTAGATACCAGCTGATTCATTATACATGTAGAGACCAGCTGATTCATTATATATGTAGAGACCAGCTGATTCATTATACATGTAGATACCAGCTGATTCATTATACATGTGTAGACCAGCTGGTTCATTATACATGTAGAGACCAGCTGATTCATTATACATGTAGAGACCAGCTGATTCATTATACATGTAGAGACCAGCTGATTCATTATACATGTAGAGACCAGCTGATTCATTATATATGTAGATACCAGCTGATTCATTATATATGTAGAGACCAGCTGATTCATTATATATGTAGAGACCAGCTGATTCATTATACACGTAGATACCAGCTGATTCATTATACATGTAGAGACCAGCTGATTCATTATATATGTAGAGACCAGCTGATTCATTATACATGTAGAGACCAGCTGATTCATTATATATGTAGATACCAGCTGATTCATTATATATGTATAGACCAGCTGATTCATTATATATGTAGAGACCAGCTGATTCATTATACATGTAGATACCAGCTGATTCATTATACACGTAGATACCAGCTGATTCATTATACACGTAGAGACCAGCTGATTCATTATACATGTAGAGACCAGCTGATTCATTATACACGTAGAGACCAGCTGATTCATTATACATGTAGAGACCAGCTGATTCATTATACACGTAGATACCAGCTGATTCATTATACATGTAGAGACCAGCTGATTCATTATACATGTAGAGACCAGCTGATTCATTATATATGTAGAGACCAGCTGATTCATTATATATGTAGAGACCAGCTGATTCATTATACACGTAGATACCAGCTGATTCATTATACATGTAGAGACCAGCTGATTCATTATATATGTAGATACCAGCTGATTCATTATATATGTAGAGACCAGCTGATTCATTATATATGTAGAGACCAGCTGATTCATTATACATGTAGATACCAGCTGATTCATTATACATGTAGAGACCAGCTGATTCATTATACAGTGATCAAAAGTATTTGATCCCGTGCTGATTTTGTAAATTTACCCACTGACAACCAAATGATCAGTCTATCATTTTAATGGTAGGTTTATTTGAACAGTGAGAGACAGAATAACAACAACAAAATCCAGAAAAACACATGTCAAAAATGTTATAAATTGATTTGCATTTTAATGATGGAAATACGTATTTTACCCCCTCTCAATCAGAAAGATTTCTGGCTCCCAGGTGTCTTTTATACAGGGAATGAGCTGATATTAGGAGCACACTCTTAAAGGGAGTGCTCCTAATCTCAGTTTGTTACCTGTATAAAAGACACCTGTACACAGAAGCAATCAATCAATCAGATTCCAAACTCTCCACCATGGCCAAGACCAAAGACCTCTCCAAGGATGTCAGGGACAAGATTGTAGACCTACACAAGGCTGGAATGGGCTACAAGACCATCGCCAAGTAGCTTGGTGAGAAGGTGACAACAGTTGGTGCGATTATTCGCAAATGGAAGAAACACAAAATAACCGTCAATCTCCCTCGGCCTGGGGCTCCATGCAAGATCTCACCTCGTGCAGTTGCAATGATCATGAGAACTGTGAGGAATCAGCCCAGAACTACACGGGACGATCTTGTCAATGATCTCAAGGCAGCTGGGACCATAGTCACCAAGAAAACAATTGGTAACACACTACGCTGTGAAGGACTGAAATCCTGCAGCGTCCACAAGGTCCCCCTGCTCAAGAAAGCACATATACAGGGCCGTCTGAAGTTTGCCAATGAACATCTGACTGATTCAGAGGAGAACTGGGTGAAAGTGTTGTGGTCAGATGAGACCAAAATCGAGCTCTTTGGCATCAACTCAACTCGCCGTGGTTGGAGGAGGAGGAATGCTGCCTATGACCCCAAGAACACCATCCCCACCGTCAAACATGGAGGTGGAAACATTATGCTTTGGGGGTGTTTTTCTGCTAAGGGGACAGGACAACTTCACCGCATCAATGGGACGATGGACGGGGCTATGTACCGTCAAATCTTGGGTGAGAACCTCCTTCCCTCAGCCAGGGCATTGAAAATGGGTCGTGGATGGGTATTCCAGCATGACAATGACCCAAAACACACGGCCAAGGCAACAAAGGAGTGGCTCAAGAAGAAGCACATTAAGGTCCTGGAGTGGCCTAGCCAGTCTCCAGACCTTAATCCCATAGAAAATCTGTGGAGGGAGCTGAAGGTTTGAGTTGCCAAACGTCAGCCTCGAAACCTTAATGACTTGGAGAAGATCTGCAAAGAGGAGTGGAACAAAATCCCTCCTGAGATGTGTGAAAACCTGGTGGCCAACTACAAGAAACGTCTGACCTCTGTGATTGCCAACAAGGGTTTTGCCACCAAGTACTAAGTCATGTTTTGCAGAGGGGTCAAATACTTATTTCCCTCAATAAAATACAAATCTATTCATAAAATTTTTGACATGTGTTTTTCTGGATTTTTTTGTTGTTATTCTGTCTCTCACTGTTCAAATAAACCTACCATTAAAATTATAGACTGATCATGTCTTGTCAGTGGGCAAATATACAAAATCAGCAGGGGATCAAATACTTTTTTCCCCTCACTGCCCATGTGGAGACCAGCTGACTTCTCTTTTATCATTTAAATCATCAGCTCCTCTGGAATGCCCCACTACCCTTCTCTCCTCCCTCATTCTTTCTTCTGTTCCCGATCCTCCTCCCGTTCCTCCCTCCTTCCCCTGTACCCCCCATCCTTCTCTCCCTTCCTTCTTTCATTGCTATTCCTCCATCACATCTCTGTTGTCGTCACGGCTCCAGATGGCACTGGGATAATGGCGCTCCACCAAACGGGAAGTCTTCCGTCTAGCTCGGAAAGGCAGTATCGTGCAGAGCCCTCACTGCTGCTCGATCAGCCTATTTGTCCAACCTAATTGAGGAGAATAAGAACAATGCAACATTTCTATTTGATAGTGTCGTAAAGCTAACTAAAAAGCACCATTCAACAAGAGAGGATGCCTTTCACTTCAGCAGTGATGACTTCATTAACTTCTTTGACGAAAAGATCATGATCATTAGAAAGTAAATTACGGATTCCTCTTTGAATCTCCTATTTCTCCAAAGCTCAAATGTCCTGTGTCTGCACATAACTGCCAGGACCTAGGATCAATGCAGACACTCAAGTTTTTTAATCCTGTATCTCGACACGTACATGAAAATAGTCATGGCCTCTAATCCTTCAAGCTGCATACTGGACCCTATTCCAACTAAACTACTGAAAGAGCTACTTCCTGTGCTTGGCCCTCCTATATTGAACATAATAAATGGCTCCCTAGCCACTGGATGTGTACCAAACTCACTAATAGTGGAAGTAATAAAGCCTCTCTTGAAAAACCCAAACCTTGACCTGGAAAATGTAAAAAACTATCAGCATATATCGAATCTCCAATCCTCTCAACATTTTTAGAAAAAGCTGTTGTGCAGCAACTCACTGCCTTCCTGAAGACAACTAATGTATACGAAACGCTTCAGTCTGGTTTTAGACCCCATCATAGCACTGAGAATGCACTCGTGAAGGTGGTAAATTACCTTTTAATCGCATCAGACCGAGGCTCTGCATCTGTCCTCGTGCTCCTAGACCTTAGTGCTGCTTTTGACACCATCGATCAACACATTCTTCTGGAGAGATTAGAAACCCTAATTGATCTACACTGAAAAGTTCCTGCCTGGTTTAGATCGTATCTGTCGGAAAGATATCCGTTAGTGTCTGTGGATGGTTTGTTCTCTGACAAATCAATTGTACGTTTCGGCGTTCCCCAAGGATCCGTTTTAGGACCACTACTTTTTTCACTATATATGTTACCTCTTGGTGATGCCATTTGAAAACACAACCTTCACTGCTAGACGACGCACAGCTGGACATTTCGATGAAACATGGTGAAGGCCCAAAATTACCTACCCTGGAAGCCTGTGTTTCAGACATAAGGAAGTGGATGGCGGCAATTTGTTTTACTTTTAAACTCGGACAAAACAGACATGCTAGTTCTAGGTCCCAAGAAACAAAGAGATCTGCTGTTGGATCTGACAATTAGATGGTTGTACAGTTGTCTCAAATAAAACTGTGAAGGACCTCGGCGTTACTCTGGACCCTGATCTCTCCTTTGACGAACGTATCAAGAATATTTTGAGGACAGCTGCTTTCCATCTTTGTAACATTGCAAAAATCAGAAACGTTTTGTCCAAAAAATTATGCAGAAAAGCTAATCCATGCTTTTGTCACTTCTAGATTAGACTACTGCAATGCTCTACTCTCCGGCTACCTGGATAAAGCACTAAATAAACTTCAGTTTATTAACACGGCTGCTAGAATCCTGACCTGAACCAACAAATGTGATCATATTACTCCAGTGCTAGCCTCTCTACATTGGCTTCCAGTTAAAACCTCTACTGGATCGGTGTCCCGTAAACAGGACAGTTGTTGCTCAATATGTATAATGTGACTACAACTACGTTGTAAACAGCAGCTATTTTTCTGGGACATATACGTGTCTTACATGGGCAGAAAGCTTAAATTATTGTTAATCTAACTGCAATGTCCAATTTACAGTAGCTATTACAGCAAAAAAATAATAACATGCTATTGTTTGAGGTTAGTGCACAACAACAAAACACTTTTATCACGGCAACAGGTTTGATACATTCACATCTGAAGGTAGATAAGGTACTTACATTCAGTAATCTTGCTCTGATTTGTCATCTTGAGGGTCCCAGTGATAAAGTGTAGAATAGTTTTGTTTGATTTAATCCATTTTTATATCCTACAACACCGTACATGGACATACGACACTTGAAATGTTTTTATATTATTTTGAAACTTGTGTGAGTGTAATGTTTACTGTTAATATTTGTTGTTTATTTCACTTTTGTTTATTATCTATTTCACCTGCTTTGGCAATGCTAACATACGTTTCCCATGCCAATAAAGCCCTTTGAAATTTAATTGGTGAGAGGCAAAGACATAGGAGAGGAAGGGAGATAAGAGATGTGCAGTGCATTCGGAACATATTCAAACCACTTTCCTTTTCCACATGTTGTTATGTTACAGCCTTATTCTAAAACGTATTAAATGTGTTTTTCTTCCTCATCAATCTATACACAATACCCCACAATGACAAAGCGAAAACAGGTTTTTAGAAATGTTTGCAAATGTATAAAAAATAAATAAAAAAGAATCTGCAGCATTGAAGGTCCCCAAGAGCACAGTGGCCTCCATCGTTTTTAAATGGAAGAAGTTTGGAACCACCGAGATTCTTCCTAGAGCTGGCCGCCCGGGCAAACTAAGCAATCGGGGGAGAAGGGCCTTGATCAGGGAGGTGACCAAAAACCCGATGGTCACTCTGACAGAGCTCTAGAGTTCCTCTGTGGAGATGGGAGAAACTTCCAGAAGGACAACCATCTCTTCAGCTCTCCCCCATTCAGGCCTTTATGGTAGGGTGGCCAGACGGAAGCCACTCCTCAGTAAAA